TCATATGGCTCGACAGTGAGTCAAGCCAAATTTACACCCCTACCTTCCAATCCAAATTCTCCTCCTTTCTAGAAACATATTTTTATCATAATAAGATGTTAATAAGGAAAAAAATTATTATACACATCTCTTTTTGGAGGGTGTGTATCATATACCTTCATTATAATATTTGTGATTTTTTATTATGATTTATTGTGATATTAGTTATAACTCATTTTAGTGTTATTGTGATATTGGTTATAATATTATTTTAGTTATGATCTAAAATATCTTTTCTTATACCTCATGTAGTGTTTAGTTATAACATTTTTTTTAGTTATAATTGACAATGATTTAGTTATGACATTTGTGGTATGGTAATCAACACCATAAATGTCATAACTTGCATAAGGGTGTATACCATAACATGATCCAAATAAAAATACTTCGAATTCAAAAATAAAATAAAATAATATTAAAATGCATTTTCCTTCTTTTTTTAAAAAAAAAAAAAAAAAAACATCATGGACTATAGCGATCCCGGTTTCTAACTCGACCTTTATGGTGTTTCGGACTCGGATCTTGTGGTTTAATGTTGTTGTTTATATCTTTTCCTCCTCCTAGTCTTTGAATTTGAGTTTGGGAATGTCTTGGGTGTGATTAGAACAGGTTGGTTGGTTGTTGGCCTAGAACCTTATTGCCCATAATTTTGGTCTCCCGCTCGAGCGGGGTTTGCAATCATTTAGTACTTTGTGTGTCTACAAAAATACTGCAGAAGTGTTTTTCACGATCAACTGGAGTTTCTTACGCTCGAGCGGGTCTGAGCTCGAGTGGCCCCTTTAGTGCTTGAGCGACTGTCTGAAGTCTATAAAATACTAGACGAGTGTATTCTACGCTCGAGCGGGTCTTATTGCGCTCGAGCAGGTAGTGTCTTCCTGTTGTGTCTTGGCGCTCGAGCGGTCTTTATTGCGCTCGAGCGGGTTTGTTTTTGTGTCTGATGCTCGAGCGGACTACGCGTATGTCAGATCGCGAAAGTGACTTTTTAAATCACTTTTCTGTCATTTCTCTCTCTAAAACTTTCCAAAATCCTAAGTTGAGAGCCACTCTCTCTAAAATACTCCTTTACTCTACTTTTTAGACTAGATCAAGTGATCTCTACATGCTTGTGTCTTCATTAAAAAGTTGGAGCATCTCAAGATCAACCTTTTGAACCAAATAGAGTGGGGTTTCGGCATCTTTGGAGTTCATCTCTTGCGTGGCTCATCTTCTCTTCTTGAGGTAGGGATAATCTACTCATTTTTATGAGTTTTAACATAAACATTGGTTATTTTGTATAAATGGTAAGATTTGGAACTTTTGGGAAGTTAAGGTTTAAAATTTGAAATGTTTGAAAGAGGGGTTTTCTTATTTGGGCTCCATATGTGTACTGGGACTTTGAAAATGGATTAATTGTGTATGATGAGGGAAAATTTGGCCTTGTGGACAATATTTGAGAAAGGGGTAAAATGCCCTAATTTGAAATATATACAATATTTGTGTAAATGATGAAATCATTATAGAAATATGAAATTGGTTTGAGAATCATGAAATTGGAGGAAATTGTGAGTAAATGGTGTAGTTGGATCGATGAATCACTCCCCTATGTAAAATGTGATATATTATCTGTTGAGAAATTTATTTATCTATTTAGATATATCTGTTTTGGGCTATCGGTGGAGGATAGCCATGATTGTTGTAGAAACTGTATGATGATTAGGTAAATTGAAACTAATCAATTGAAATATGTCATTGAATATGACGGTTGGATATAAACATTGTATATGTTATTGAATCGATCATTGTATATGACAACATGTTTAAATACATTGCATATGTATCTTGTTTGGGAGGAGAAAGGGGATGTACTCCATTGTTTAGAAGGAGATAGGAGATGAACTCCATAGATAATTAAGTTAGCCGGAGTGTCTAGAGTGAAAGTCTCGAAATCTTATTTATATTTTGGGTGTCGGTTCCCTTGGACGTAGTTCCGTAAAATGGCAAGATAATGGAAGTGTATGATTTATGTATATATATGAAGTGTTCATACTATGAGTTGTAGTCTTATTTAAACTGTTTCGATAATATTGAGATATGTCAATGAATTGATTTGGATACTTAAAGAGAAGTGGATCTGTTATGATGTAAATGTTGATTGGTTATGGAAATGGTATAAGTTGGTTTATAAGTAGTAAACATTTATCGGATGCTAATGTTTTAGTTAATTCTCATGTAATATTTAGCATATCTCTACTGGGCATTGGCTCACCCTACTTGGGACACCATTTTTCAGGTACAGGTGATATGTTGCCTCCAAGATCTTAGCTTGGGAGTTTTCGGAGTTGAAGACTCCCTTTTGTTATTTGTTTTGATGTTAAATGTAAATCCAAGCCGAGGGCTTTTATGGATAGGGTTAGAACTCTTCTTTTGTTGTAACCAAGCGATGACTTGGAAAGTTGTAAGCCCATAGGGCATTTGTTTGTTTAATATCCTTTGTAAAGAACACTCTGCTGAATGTAATATGTAACATTTCTATTATATTTTACGGATTTTATGAATGGATGATTATGTTTTATTTTGAGGGCATTACATGGACCACCAATAATGTAATTTTATTTTAACTTTAAATTTAAAATTGTTACATACTTTAAATTTTAATAAAAAGAATAATATTAATATCACCCACACAAAAATCTCAAAAACTTTTTTTTTTTTTTAAACCCTCTTAGCATGGTTTGACACACCCTAAATAAGCAGTTTATTTATTTATTTGTTATAAGTTATTATATCACATTTTTATTTTTTTGCATATTTTTGCATAAAATGTCAATCGACTAAAAATAGACAAATTCCAAGAAAATAAAGTTTGGATTTTTAATTTGTCAATTTAAATCGTAATCTTATAATATATTTTCAATCTAAATCGTATGTCTATTTTCATTAAATAAAAATGATTCAAAAAGTCTTTTAGTCATTAAACTTAATATAAGTATACATAATGACTAAAAAAAAAAAATTATCAGTTTTACTCAATGAAAATAGTCAATAGTTTAAATTAAAAATAAATCAAAATATTAAAAATTTAGATTAGAAACTCCATATATATTTTATTTTTTGGGTGAATAAGATATATATTACACGAGTTAGATTCTTTTTTCTTTTCTTTCTTCTTTTTTTTTTTGTAATTTTCTTTTCTTATAATTAATAAAAAGCATTTTTAATAATGAACCGTTGTTAGAGTTGACAATTAATTGATATGATACCACCTCGATGGAATGATTTCCTTTCCTTCTAACCTTAAAATAGAATCCACCAATTGTTGGCATAAACAATTCTGCTGGAGACTCCAGCAGAACACGACCCTCAGCACCCCCCTCCCCCCACCTCCACGTGGGGGGCTGTCACTGGCTGAAACTAAAAAAAAATAAAAAAATTTCTTAGCCAATCAGGAGAGACCCCCAGAACCCCCACTGGGGGTCTTAAGCTTTATTCTTGGCCTAAATGATCTTATTGGGCTCACTTTGCTTCGTTCCTTTCTTCTAAAAACATTTTTAAAAAAATTTTATTCTCTTATTTTTCGTATTTTTTTTGTTTTTATTGAATTTTTTTAGTATTTTAAGTACTTTTATTTTTTACTTTTTAGACATACCTAACATAAATATACCTAAAAAGTAAAAAAATTATGAAAAACATTTTAAAAATTCACTAAATACCAATATATATATATATATATATATATAAAGAGAATTCAGTACATTTTTTGTATTTATGTATTTATTAATTTTTTAAAATATTTTTTCACAATTTTTTACTTTTTAAATATATCTAAGTAAGATGCATCTAAAAAAAATATTAAAAAAATGTTTAAAATTTTAAAAATATTCATTAAAAATAAAAAAACAGGAAAACCAAAAAACTCAGCTTTTAAAAAACTGAATTCAAAAAACTCAAACCAAACACAAACTAAAGAATATCTAATTTAATAAAAATTAATTATAACTCTACAAACATTCCAAAATTTTCATAAATATACTTTAAGTTTTAAAATATTCTCTAAACTAATTTTTATAAAATGTGTAAATTATGTAAATGGTGAAAAAAAATTAAATGTGTACATTTTTTTATAGAGAAAAAGTAATAGACAAATATAGTTTTATCAATGCCAAAATGAGATAAAGGCATGAAAAAGTCGTTGAAACGAAGAGTAACTCGGGAACCACCATGTACTCGTTAAAATTAACAAAAACATTGAATTGTAAATGAATAATTACAAGAAATTTTTTATTAGGGTATAATTCATCATTGAATAATACATAATTTTGGTGCAACCAAAAATTACTTTGCAGGATTTTTCTTTTTTTATTTTACTGATGGATACTAGAATTGAGAACCCAAATGAAACTTTATGCTATAAATGTATAGAAGATTTTCACACAATGAGATAGATGTAAGACAGAGAATAGATGTCACATGTATGTTAAACTACTTTTATGAGTTATCTTTGTAGTGACCAACTTTATTAGTTGTGTGATTAGTGACTTAATTGTTAGTTATCTAAAAGCCGCAGAATCAATGCGAGTCTGAAAATAAATACGGGAGAAGAGGGGATTGATAGCTTTCAAAAACATAGAAACCTTGCTACGCAGAGATGGCACGAGAGATGAAATGTAATGAATAGGGGTCCATACAATTTTTCATCACTCAAAAGATCTGTTAGCAATGCATAGCGGTCAAATAGGATCATTTTCTTCTCGAGATTATATATCATATGTGTCACTTATTCATTATCTAATATTTATGTCTAATTTTATAATATTAAAAAAAAAAAAATCAATTGCCCATTCATAGAAGAAAAAAAAACTAACTCAAATGTCAACAACTTTCATTTTCATCCCTTTAATAATATAGAGTCACATCTAGGAACGTGGAATCGGTGTATGAACATATGTTAGGTTGCATATTTAAATGGCAAACCATGCAAAAATTTTTCACACAACTGAAAATTGTTATAAACAAACCAAGTTTTCACTCATTGTAGTACATAGGTATCGCAACAAACCATGACAGAACAACCGATGGCAACAACAACGACGATGATGGAGATTAAGGTTGAGGTAATCGCTAGAGAAACCATCAAGCCATCTTCTCCGACCCCCCATCACCTTAAAACTTTCAAACTCTCTCTTATCGACCAATTCGCGCCTGCATCATACACGCCACTAGTCCTCTACTACGCCACATGCGGCGGTTCTAGTTACGAAGAAAGAACCCAACTTTTAAAAAACTCCCTCTCTCAAATCCTAACACGCTACTACCCTCTAGCTGGAAGAATCAAAGATCCTCTCTTTGTTGATTGCAACGACGACGGCGTTGATTACATTGAAACTCGAGTCAACTGTCCAATTTCCTCCATTCTTAAGCAACCCAAAAGTGAATTACAAAACCATTTCATTCCAATCAAATTTAAGGAATCGGGGTCCGGATCTCTCTTACTCATCCAGGCTAGCTTCTTTGAATATGGAGGAATGGCTATAGGCATCTATACTAACCACAAACTTGCCGATGCGGCCTCCTTCACCACATTCCTCAAGGCCTGGGCTGCCACTGCGTCCGGATTCCCTGACGTAGTAAGTCCAGATTTCACAGCACCCTCTATATTCCCAGCAAGAGATGACTTTCAGACCCTTCCATCACAAGTTTATGAGAAACCACCACAGAAGGTTGCTGTCAGGAGGTACTGTTTTGACAATGAAATGGCTGTACTCAAAATAATTTGAAAGAGAGATTTGAAGAATAAAGAATATATTCATTCATTCTCATTCTTACAAAGCAGCTCTATATATATGAAGTTTTAAAACAATTTTGACATTCTAATTTTAAGGCATTTTAAATACTAAAACCCACTATTTTGTAAACCACTAAAATGATAACAAAATAAGATTTATTAACATACCACTAGGGACCAAATTATCAATCCATCTTGGCATTTGATTGCAAATTCTGAGTAACTTTTTGGGTAAACATGACTCCAAAATTACTAAAAACAAGTTTATTTTCTCAACAGGTACGTCTTCAACGCCTCCAAACTTCACGCTCTCAAGGCGGAAGCAGCCAACGCGAGGGTACAACAACCTACCCGCGTGGAGGCTGTCATGGCACTCCTTTGGAAATGCGCTATGGATGCTTCTAGATCAAGATTGGGATTGGCATCGACCAATCCAAGGAGGCCATCTATATTAGTCATATCAGCAGATATGCGACCACGTCTTGTGCCGCCATTACCAGAGAGTTCCTTCGGAAACATAGGACGCCCACTAGTAGTGCACGCCGATGATGAGAGTGAGAACGAAATGAACTTGTCAAACTTGGTAAGTAGCATAAGGGAAAGTAAGCTAGAACTAAGCAAAAATTGTGGAGTGTCGGAGATTTGTGGTTTGTTGATGGAGTTGGGAAAGTTGCAGATGAGAGGAGGTGAAGTGGATATGTATACACATACAAGTTGGAGTAGGATGCCATTGTATAAAGCTGATTTTGGGTGGGGAAAGCCAACTTGGGCGACGATTGGTCATATAGAAGTGCCTAATGTTGTTGTGTTGAGTCCTTCAAGAGATGGTGAGGGGATTGAAGCATGGGTTACCTTGATTGAAGAAGACATGGCATTTTTTGAATGTAACAAGGACTTGCTAGACTTTGCCACTATAAATCCTAGTGCTCTCAACTCTCTCTACTGAGTTAGTCCACTCTACTACTGGATCAAATCAGTCATGCAATCCAAAATCTTCAATTGTGTACGATAGTACTCCTTTTGTGTTTGATGTGTCTTTTCTGTTAGAATTGAAGTTATCTTTGTAGATACTTTCTGTTGTGTCCCCTCCAAATAAAAAAACTGTAATTCTAGTCTACTTTATGTTTTGTGGGTTTTTGCATTATTCCTTTTAATTGTGTTGTATGTTTTTCAATATGTTTTTTTCCTTTGACTTGTGATTCCTCTCTCACAAAGATCCTTTCTCTCCCATTATTTGAATTTGAATCTTCTCTAAACACTTTATTAACAGGGATACTACAAGAATAATACACTAAAATTTATTCAGAATATCAATATGTATTTCGGATTCATTTTATTGGCCAAAATCTGGGATCCAAAATTTGGATCCTAGACTTTCTACTTTATTAGATCAATTACTAAAAGTAACCAATAATGTTGTACCTGAAAATTCAATGGCCAGAATTTTGCTAGAGGACATTAAAAATAATATTAATAAAAAAAAGAGTACCGACTTATTAACATGTTGTTGTACTTATTCACCCAAAAAAACATGTTGTACCTTGCATTCTGACCAAATCCTTTATTGGGCTAAAATCCTTATATTTAGTTAAAATTTTCTGAATTTATTTTTGAAAATTCTTTTAAAAATTACAAGTTAATATAACAAGAATAAATGCTAAAAAATATATTTTTAAATTTTTAAATTTTTTTTGTCCAAAAAAAATGAGAAAAATCATACAAAAATAATGAGATTTCATTTTTATTTCACCAAACTAGTTTTTTCAAAATTTCTCAAAAACAAATCCTGAAAACTAAATCAAATATGACATTAGGGTAGTGACTAGTGAATCAAATTTCTCCATATTTTAGTATTTGTGACCCACGCAAAACAATCTCTTCACACAGATTGGGCAAATCTCGAGCAAAATCTGTGTGCATAGTTCCAAAGAATTAATAGCACCTAATGGAAGTTGAATCTAAGACATTAAGAGAGCACACCCCAGGCCCCAAGCTATACCCACTAGGCCAACCTTTTGAAGTTGTGTGGTGGTGTTATTGTAGAGGCCAACAAAGAATTTCTAAAACAAGGAAGAACATAAAATTTTGAAGAAATCGTCAGGACAAACATAATACATAGATTATGAAGCAAAGCAGAGACATGTTCAAAGAAAAATACTAGGACACTCGACAAATATTAAAAGGACTCTTTCTATCATTCTGTCTTTTGGTTTCGAATGATTAACCACTATGCACAAAAATAAAAATGAGACCTAATCTGTCAAGCCCCAAACTCACCCCTAAAAGTTTGGGCATGACCGACCCATAACGGGTCTCAAAACTCACTAGCCAGTAGCACGACCAACTTATATCATATGGGGCCTGAACGAAAGCAGATATTAATTTTAAAATGACATCCATTGAGCCAGTGTTTAAATGCCAGGACCACAAACATTATCATCACATAATCCAACACATAAAGAAGCATATACATAAGTGACAACTATATACACGCATATATACTGTCCCAACCCCGTAACTTGGGGTATAACCAAAAACCTCGATGATGAAGTTATACATGTTATCAACATTTAACAAAAGGCTAGTGACCAATGCTAAGAGCTACGGAAGGAATTCCACACAAAAATGAGTAACTTCATTTAATTGCTTGGACACAACAGTGTTAACAAAAGAAAAGCTGCCGGGGCTGGACTAGAACTGACCTCCAATGTCACGACCCGAACCCGCCCCTATGGGCTAAGGCCATAACTGACCAGTAATCACGAGATTACCCACTACAACAAAAATAGTCTTTAGACACGAAAACTAATAACGAAATTTTTTTTTGTCACGAAATACGTATCTTTTAATGACGAAAATCATATTCAAAAAAGACAAAACTCATCAGAGTAAAAGGGGCCAAACGGAAGTAATTTTAAAATTTTGTCCATAGAGCCGTGCTTATATGCACATCATAACATTCCATACATACATATGTTAATAACTCATAACAAAAAGTATAGTAACCTAAAGTTCTATACAGACAGGATCATTCAAATCTAAGTCAGCCAAAACGAAGCTATATACAGACGTGTCACCAATCTAAATCATAATAAAAAAAATAGGTGACGAAATTATATTTCGTCATTATTTATATTTTTTTTGTCACCAAATATTTTCCCACTAATATTTTCGGAGGGCGCCAAAATTAATAGATTTTTAGTGACAAAAAAATTGGTCATCAATTATAAAATTATTAATGACGAATATATTTTTGTCACTAATAATTTTTAACATTTTAATATCATTTAGGGACAAAACTATTTTTGTGACCAATATTTTTACCTTGATGAAAAAATAATTTTGTCACCAAAAAATAATTTAGTCACTAAATATTTTGGGGTAAATATTTTAGGGGAAATAAAAATGAAAAAATGATACAAAACTACACTCTCAAATCATCCATCTCCATCACCATACCTGACCTTTCTTCCTTTACTGCCTCTTTCACCACCACCACCAACTCAATCACTTCACCACTGCCACCTCCGCCTCTGCCGCAGCCTCCCGATCTCCCAACCGCTCTCTCAACACTCAAACACCTCATCCACCTCTCCGAAACCACCCACCACTCCACCTCCACTCTCCTGCCCACTACCGCCACCACCACCACCGCCCTCTGCCCCTGTCCTTTCAATTTCCTCCACCACCTTCCATCGGAATCCCTCTTTTGCCACTCCCTCCAATGCCCTTCTTCCCCTTCCCCCCTTCTTAACCTCGACCCCCTCCTACTCCAATCACTACGTTACACCAACACTCTCAAACCCTCCCAACAACTCTTTAATCAGAACCGCGTCCTTCAAACCATACACGATCCCAACTCCAACCTCTGCTTCTCCCTCGACGATTATTGCGACTTTGGTCCCAATTTCTTCTACCCTAATGGTGTGAAACTTCAAGTTCTAGGCCCCTAATCTTCCAAGTACTGTTTTTATTTTGTTTTGTTTTGTTTTTTTTTTCTTCTAGTGTTTCTGAACTTGATTTTCGATTTCTCTATTTTACAGGCCAAATCAACCGAAGAACAACTCAAACCTCTCTTCGATTACCACCGTGCTCAACCCTTCGATGTTGTCTGCCTCAATGGTCTATCCTCTTTCTCTCTCTCTCTCTCTCACTCTCTCTCTCTATATATATATATAGATGTGTGTGTGTGTGTGTGTGTACGTCTTAAACATTTTAATTTTTGGAATTTGCAGATGATTGTTCAGATTCATCCCCAGCTTTCTCTCCCAAACGAAGGAAGCATTCGTATACCGCTGTAAAGATCTCTACTTTTTGTAGATTTTATTGAATTTGAATGATTTAGCAACCTAGAATGTGAGCCTTTGTTTGAAATTGATTTGAGTGTTGGTATCAATTTGAATTTAGGTTGAGAAGGTAGATAAGAATGAGAAATTCATAGAGGTTGTTGATTGTGAAGATAAGGAAGAGGATGATTGGCTATCTCCACCTCCTAAAGTTTCAGTTGATACACTGAAACTTGGTGAGGATTCAACTATAAAGGAATTGAGGTATATTCCTTTTTTTGGTTTTAACTTAATGGGTTAGCTCAGGAATTCATTTTATGTTTTGTGGCTCCTTTATCTCTATCTTTCAGTTCATATAGTTTAAAGCAGCTATGAATTTTATTACTTGTGTGTGCATTTGTTTGAAGCTATTTTTGTTGTGTTAGTGCTTTAATTGGTGAGACCATTCACTGGTGTTCTAAAGTAGAGGCAATGTGTCTTATTATTGGAATTGATACCTAAAAGGGACCAATGTGTCTTATTATTGAGACCAAAGAGGGTTGGTTTGGCAGACAAGCTGCTAATTTAGTGTGAGTAATGCTGGAATTCGCATCTCACCATTTGATGCAACTTAGCTTTTTCTTTTCCCCTCCTATGAATTGAGTGGGGGAAAAAAAATCAAACCAATAAGATAGGACTACACACGAGGTGTTTGATGATATTACTCTTAAGACAAATTGATTTAATTTTTTCAGAACAAATTGACTAGGTCTTTGATGTTATTGAAGCTGATTTCAAGTCCTTAACATCAACCATGTTTGTCATCAATTCCAATTTTGTTAATAATCCTAGTGAGGCAAAATAGGCAAGCTAGTTATTCCTCTTGATCTAGTTAAATTTCTCTTACTTCTTTGGGACTAGATTAGCATTCCTTAAAACTATATAGTTCTTCCATGCAAATGTTTTATTGTTTATTTACTTTCTTGATTCTTAATTTCATAAATTAGCTAAGTTTCGATTTTGTTCAATTTTGAAACCATGTTTTATTGTTCAATTTTGTTCTTAAGTTTCGATTTGCGGCCGTCGTAATGGAAGTGGTGAGTTGGTTGAAGTTGGGTATTGGGATCTTAGAGGTGAAAACAGATCTTCAGCATTTAAAATGAAGTTTATGAAACTTGGATTGAAGCCTGATTCATTTCAGACTGATAGGGACAATATTAGTTTAGTATGAGACCCCTTTTTCATTAATCCTAGTAACTGTTTTCTTTTTTTTTACATGAATTATATTTTTTGGGTTACTTATTCAGTGATATAGAATTAGTATCTCTGTTTACTTGTATTCTATCTAAATTCATTCTGACAAACGAGTTCATTTTGTGCTTGCACTAACAAAAAATGTCTCTAGGTTTATCCTGAAGGAACACATTTGATGATTCCCTTGTTTGAAAGGCCTATCGTTAATGATGTTCGTGCACGTCCCAATCTTGTTGAGAGCTCTTCAGGGAGTCATGATCTCCAAATGGTAAAGTTTGTTTTACAGATTTTCTTATATTTATCATGCACAAAATAAAATGAAAACAAAACTTGTTGGTTTATTATAGCGACTTTTTCCAGATATGGCATACTTGATCTCTTCATAATTTTTTTAAGTTTCGAACTCTTGATTGAAGCCTAGATAAAAAAGAATTACATGCCTAGAAATAAGGTTTCACTTTTATATGATAGTCAAGGAGGTTAATTTATGGAAGCATTCTGATCTTTCTAAATCCCTTTTGTAGATTCGATTCTTGTTATTCAATCAGGGCCTTATTATTTGCATTAATATTTATTTAGCATTGCCATATGCTAGGAGGTCGATTGTGTTTTTTTTTTTTTGGGTGAATAAGTCATAAAATAAAAGACAAATATATACAAGATACAAGAGGCATGTCTCAGGAGCTAACCAACTATACAAAGACAGAGCCACCAACAAAACCAAAAACACAACAGGACAAAACTTGTTCAAACACCACATGAGCACAGGAGCAGATAAGGAGCAGGAACAAGATCAATACTGAGCTACACATTAGGATAGACCTAGAAGCTACTGGACCACAAAACAATGTCCAAAATATAACTCAAAAACAAGGTCTACTACCATAATTAAGGCCATGCACATTCCACATAGAAATCCAAAATTAGGTTCTGGGATTACAAAAATTAACCACTAGAGCCTATTATAACTATACGAATAAATAAAAATTCAGACTGTAAAACAACCACCACATCCTCTTAGACAGCAGGCAACATCAGATCATTAAGCACCAGCAAAATGGCAAGCAACAGCAGACAACAAGCCTCAGCAAGAAGGCAGCAACAACAGCAGTAGCAGTAGCCAGTAGCACAGAACCTAATTTTGGAGAAGCTATGAGTATGGAAGGTGTCACTGTCATATTTTGGTGTTTCTCTTGAAGAATAGGTGACTAATTTAATGGGCCAACCATTTTGTTTCTTAATAATACTGATATCTACCACACCGACTCTGGTTAAATGATAAATTTGATTTTGTTTGGAAGCAAGTTAGTTGAAAAGACCACACATGTTTTGTTCTTGTATAGATAATCGAACTAACATGTAAATTTATATTTTCTCTGAATCTGTGATACTACTCTTTTGAGGAGACAACTTACTTTTATTTCTCTATATTCTCTTAGAGTGAGTGTTGAATTTTAGTAGAAAAACAATATCATTGCCATTTGTTTTTCTAGATTATCCTCTTGAGGTGTTGTTGGAAACTGTCACTCAACTCTTCTAGTTGATATGATTTTATTCTCTTCCTAGAAAACTTCTATTTTGCTGTTGATGGAACCAAAGTTTTCTTGATTCACCATCACAGCAGCACCTAGCTAAGTCAACTAATTTGTTAATGTTATTCTATTTTTTGTTTTGTTTTTGTTTTTTTTATTTTTTAATTTATATTAAGAGGCAAGTGCTGAATTGTGTGTTAGTGATGTAAATCAAAATCATAATCTCTCAGTAAGCTACATTTGGTTATCCTTATTTCCTGTTTTGATTTTCTTTTCTTAATCTGCCTTGATACAAAACTTTTGAAACTTCCTTTCTTCAATCAAAGAAAAATATTATTCATGGTTGGATAATAAGGGGGGGAGGGGAGAGAGATCCTAGCCTCCAAATGATATGTAGAGTGAAATAGAAAAAGGGATAAGAAATGGAGAGAAAGAGGAGAGGAAGCTAACTTTGTGACACCCTGAAAATGAGTAGAATATTTATTTTGAAATCTTTCAATCATGCCCTTCCCTTCCTCTTGCAAGTTGGTTATGGGATAATCTTTTGATGGCCTAGCTCAGATGCACTGAAGGCACCACCAAAATCCAGATAGCTTCCTTTGTAGGTTAACAAATTCATTAAGGACGGAAATAAATAAGGAGATGCCTTTTCATTATAGAAGCTTTTTCAAGACCTACATCTGGTTGTTGCCTTTTGGTAAGGTTTATAGTCCTGCTGTTATCTGCTTCACCATTTACTGGTTATATCACTAGAATTGTCCTCCCAAGAAGATGTCTTTTTTCAATTTGTCATGTGTTCCTATCTTGATATCTTTGCAATTACAGCATGAGATGGCAGTAGAGAGTGCATGGATTTTTGATATGGATTGTTATTATCAAACTCTGATTCTTGCTAGAAGGATTTTTGTGATTGGTGGGACACATATGCTCAAGAAGGTAAAGTTATTGCTCAAAGAAGTAGAGTTTATTTTGCAACATATACATTCATCTCTAAGTTTATTCAGAACTTACACTCAACTCTTCTGTTCATAATCAGTTTTGAACTTGCTTTTCTAGATTAACTTGACTAATCCAAATCAAAATGAAGACATAAAACTTCCTTCAAATACAAAAGCTGTTAAAGATCTGTATGTCTCCCCTTGTGGGAAACTTGTACTTTTAGCTTCGATGGGTAAAAAATTATCAATTACTAGGTATACTTATTGTCTTTTCTTTTTGTCAAGAAGATATTAGTTTTTCTACACTTTTTTTTGGAGTTTAGCTGACTCAGTTTCTTCTATTGTTTCAGCATGGGCTGCAACAAAGTTGTCATCAGTTATAATTTACCGGTAAAAGTTTGTTACTTCTTGTTTACATGTTTGTGGATATATCTTTACTCATGCTCCCTATTTTTTTTTTCTTTTATATTTTCGACTTGAGCATAGTTCTATTGTTTTGAAGTTCCAATTCCTATGAAAATAATGAAGCCTTCCAGTTTATTTGATTGTATTTTGCCAAGTGTCATCTTGTCAGTTGAAGTATTGTCTGATGTAGTACCTATTGCATATCAGTATAACTAGGGGACCATATGATACTAGTTCCCAAAAATGATTAGTCCTAGATGACACTGAAATTTAATTGTTACAAATTTGTCCTACCTATGATCAAGTTTGGTAAGACATAAACATGTCTTCTGAAAAGTAGGCATGCCAAGATCCGTTTTATTTAGTTTTTTTATCTCCCACTTCTTATTCTTCAGTGGTTGAAACCTTTTGCCCTCAACTTGTTGGCAAATTTTATGGTTTTAGATTAATCTGGACTGTGTTTGGAAAAGGTAAAACTAGATCAGCTAAGTGACAATAGCAAAATTTAATGGAAATCATCTAGATCTTAGTTAATGATGTTTAAGAAATTAAGCTTGAAGCTTAAACTTGAGCTCAGTTTGTTCCAATGCAGAATGAGTGGGGACGTGTTTCTAATTTAGTTATGATTAAGTTTTTCTCTCTGTATTTGTCTTGCCTTGTAAACAAGTTCTCTATATTTATGGTTAGTTTTATTTTATTTCGCTTGTTTGATTACCAATCTTTTTTCTATTGAAATTCGTAAGGAAGACAAAATCCTGATTATCAACGTATACAAACCTAAACCTATACAAACCTAAACCTCATAAAACAATCTCCCGGTTGGAAAACTAAGTCAAAAAATGCACTTTTTCACACTTAAGCTTGAAAATAGGCCACTGGGGGCCAAAATTATCCAACAGCCACGAGACGGCCCGGGGACCACCTCAAACACGTCGGGAGGGACCAATGTGAGTTGTGAAAACTTACGGAACTAGCACGGGACTCCCGGTTTGAAAACTAAGTCCAAAAATGCACATTTTCACACTTAAGCATGAAAATAGGCTACGGGGGGCCAAAATTGTGCAACACCCACGGGACGGCCCAGGGACCACCTCAAACACGTCTGGAGGGACCAATGTGAGTTGTGGAACTTACAGAACTAGCACGGGACTCCCGGTTTGAAAACTAAGTCCAAAAATGCACTTTTTCACACTTAAGCTTGAAAATAGGCCTTCGAGGGCCAAAATCATGCAACAGCCATGAGACGGCCCGGGGAACACCTCAAACACCTCGGGATGGACCAATGTGAGTTGTGGAAACTTAGGGAGCTAGAACGGGACTCCCGGTTCGAAAACTAAGTCCAAAAATGCACTTTTTCACACTTAAGCTTAAAAAATAGGCCTTCGAGGGCCAAAATCGTGCGACAGCCATGAGACGGCCCAGGAAACACCTCAAACACCTCGGGATGGACAAATGTGAGTTTTGAAAACTTACGGAACTAGCACGGGACTCTCGGTTTGAAAACTAAGTCCAAAAATGCACTTTTTCACACTTAAGCTTGAAAATAGGCCTTCGGGGGCCAAAATCGTGCAACAGCCACGAGACGGCTCGGGAAACACCTCAAACACCTCGGGACAGAACAACGTGAGTTGTGGAAACTAACGAAACTAGTACAGGACTCCCGGTTTGAAAACTAAGTCAAACAATATACTTTTTTATAATTAAGCTTCAAAATAGGCCTTCGAGGGCCAAAATCGTGCAACAGCCATGAGACGGCCCGGGGAACACCTCAAACACCTCGGGATGGACCAATCTGAGTTGTGGAAACTTACAGAACTAGCACGGGACTCCCGGTTTGAAAACTAAGTCCAAACATGCACTTTTTCACACTTAAGCTTCAAAACTAGGCCTTCGAGGGCCAAAATCGTGCAACAGCCACGAGACGGCCCGGGAAATATCTCAAACACCTCGGGATGGATAAATATGAGTTGTGGAAACTTACGGAACTAGCATGGGACTCTCGGTTTGAAAACTAAGTCCAAAAATGCACATTTTCACACTTAAGCTTGAAAATAGGCCTTCGGGGGCCAAAATCGTGCAACAGCCATGAGACGGCCTGGGAAACACCTCAAACACCTCGGGACAGACCAATGTGAGTTATGGAAACTAACGAAACTAGCACGGGACTCCCGGTTTGAAGACTAAGTCCAAAACTGTATTTTTTTACAATTAAGCTTCAAAATAGGCCTTCGGGGGCCAAAATCGTGCAACAGCTATGAGACGGCACGGGAAACACCTCAAACATCTCGGGATGGACAAATGTGAGTTGTGGAAACTTAAGGAACTAGCACGGGACTCCCGGTTTGAAAACTAAGTCCAAAAATGCACTTTTCCACACTTAAGCTTGAAAATAGGCCTTCGGGAGCTAAAATCGTGCAAAAACCACGAGACGGCCCGGGAAACACCTTAAACATCTCGGGATGGACCAATGTGAGTTGTGGAAACTTACGGAACTAGCACGGGACTCCCGGTTTGAAAACTAAGTCCAAATATGCACTTTTTTACACTTAAGCTTCAAAAATAGGCCTTCGAGGGCCAAAATCGTGCAACAGCCACGAGACGGCCCGGGAAACATCTCAAACACCTCGGGATGGACAAATGTGAGTTGTGGAAAGTTACGAAACTAGCACGGGACTCTCGGTTTGAAAACTAAGTTCAAAAATGCACTTTTCCACAGTTAAGCTTGAAAATAGGCCTTCGGGGCCACAATCGTGCAACAACCATGAGACGGCCCGGGGAACACCTTAAACACCTTGGGATAGACCAATGTGAGTTTTGGAAACTAACGAAACTAGCACGGGACTCCCGGTTTGAAAACTAAGTCCAAAAATGCATTTTTTTACAATTAAGCTTGAAAATAGACCTTCGGGAGCCAAAATTGTGCAACAGCCACGAGACGGCCCAGGAAACACCTCAAACTCCTCGGGATGGACCAATGTGAGTTGTGAAAACTTACGGAACTAGCACGGGACTCCCGGTTTGAAAACTAAGTTCAAAATTGTATTTTTTTATACTTAAGCTTGAAAATAGGCATTCGGGGGCCAAAATCGTGCAACAGCCATGAGACGGCCCGGGAAACACCTCAAACACCTCGGGATGGACCAATTCGAGTTGTGGAAACTTACGGAACTAGCACGGGACTCCCGATTTGAAAACTAAGTCAAAAAATACATTTTTTCACATTTAAGCTTGAAAATAGGCCTTTGGGGGCCAAAATCGTGCAACAGCCACGAGACGGCCCGGGAAACACCTCAAACACCTCGGGATGGACCAATTTGAGTTGTGGAAACTTACAGAACTAGCACCGGACTCTCGGTTTGAAAACGAAGCAAAAAAATGCATGTTAAATTGTTATATGTTTGGATAAGATAATAATTGTCTAGCTAACTTTTTTTTTTTTTTTTTTTTTTTTGTATTTCATTTTTTTGCAGATTCGAGATTTGATATGGACTTGTTTGGTAATTTGGAGGGCCGATGGTAGCTCATTTGTGTTTTTGTTCATATTACCTTACTTGTATTTTGATTGTGTTGTAAATTTTATATTTTTTTAGTAATTTACGGGGCATGTTTGGTAATCCGCCCTTGATATTTTATTTTTGTTAATATTAGTAGACATGTATTTTGTTGGATATTAGGAGATGTGTTTTGGTATCTGCATACGGTTGAATTATTATATTTTTGTGGATATTAGTAGACGTTTTTTGTGGATATTAGGAGACATGTTTATAATCTGCATGCAGTTCATATTGTATTTTTGTGGATAGTGCTAAAATTCAATTGTGATGTTTATGAAAATGAACAAATTTTTGTATTGATTTGTAATAGATATTTTATTGAACATGTTATTGAAATGCGTAGGGAATTGTTACTGAAAAGAAAAAATTTCGGAAGAAAATAGTACTCTCATTTTCAAAATTTTTAATTTTTATTAGTGACGAAATAAAAAATGTCGTTATTAGTTTTCAAAAAACATGACGAATAATTTTGTCACTAATGATATAGTACGAAACAAATAATTTCGTCACATTTGCTGAATATTTCGTCGCTAAATGGAAATATTTGGTGACAAAATATTTTGTCATTGAATAATTTTCTTTTTTGCTCATTTTAGTGACGAATTTTTTTGTCATCTTAATCCATATCATTGGTGAGGAAAACTTTCGTCATTGAAATATATTTGGCGACGAAATATTTCGTCGTAAAAAACAATTAAAATAAAATATTATTTAGTTTTGGTGACGAAACTAGTATTTTAGAGGACGAAAAATTCAACATTTGGAGACGAAACATTTCGTAGCCAAAAATGAAAAATAGGTGACGAAACTGTTTTTCGTCACCAGGTACTTTTTGTGACGACGTATAGGCCACGAACGTGGTGACAAATTTTTTTCGTCACAGATCACATTAGTGACGATATTTTGATGTTTGGAGACAAAATTAGTCTGTCACCAAAGCCTTTTTTTGTTGTAGTGACCTACGGCCTCAAACCAAATAAGACAAAACTCATCAGAGTAAAAGGGCTAAACGGAAGCAAATTTAAAACTTTGTCCATAGAGCCGTGCTTATATGTACATCATAACATTCTATACATACATATGTTAATAACTCACAACAGAAAGTATAGTAACCTAAACTTCTATATAGACAGGATCATTCAAATCTAAGTCAGCCAAAACGAAGCTATATACAGACGTACACCAAAGTCCTCACCAACATGACAAAATAACATAGAATGGCAGAAGAGCGAAAACATGTCTCGTGCGTGAGACACAAAGGCTGACTCTTCAAAACCTTAGTTGTTCCATACAGACTTCACTAGGGCTGGGTTTGGACTTCTCCTGGCTCACCTACAAACACATGAATAAGCGTGAGCGATAGGCTAGTGAATAATATCAAATAAAAGAGTTATACAAATGGTATGTAGAACAACATGCTCCAAATGGCCTTAGGCCCAATTCATATATCTATTTAACATATATATACACACAATTTAAGTCAAGTGACTGTAGTTCCAAACATACTAGCCTTTGGCCCATTTATTTATGTCAAACTGGCCTTTGGCCCATTCATGCATATTAAACTGGCCTCTAGCCCATTCATGCATGTCAAACTGTTATTCGTTTCAAACTGTTATTCGTGTCAAACTGGCCTTTGGCCCATTCATTCATTCTTATCAAAACGGCTTTCGGCTCATTCATTCATGTCAAAACGGTCTTCGCCCCATTCGTTCATGTCAAAACGACCTTCGGCCCATTCATTCATTCTTGTCAAAACGGCCTCTAGCCCATTCATTCATTCTTATCAAAACGGCCTCTGGCCCAATCATTTAGTATAACAACCATTGTCCACCAATCGAATCAATGAACTTATGAAACTTACATAGAAGTAAGCAATTTAGACAACATATTTCAGATATCTTTGTTAAGATATTACTCACAGTGATCGGCTTGTGGATTTACCCTAGAGCTTGACCCTACACATCATATAACACATATGGGTCACAAGCGATCCAATCCGTTCTTTAATTTACATATTCTTCTTTAGGCTTCATTCTTATCTCTTTAACTCAATTACAATGCTCAATGCATGCCTAAGAGTACTTACAAGTGAAAGAGAACGGAAAACGAAACTCAGAATTCCTTTTCAAAGTTTCAGAAAACAGGGTCCTCGCTCGAGCGGACCCATGAGGCCTGCAAAAGTACTGGCTATGTCGAATTTACGCTCGATCGTGCACTCTGGCACTCGAGCGGAAGGCCTCTCTACATGGCTCCCCGCTCGAGCGTGAACTTCCCTGCTCGAGCAGACACAATGTTAGCAGAAAATACTGGGAGCTCGATATTCACGCTCGAGCAGCGGTTCTCCCGCTCGAGCGGACGTCAAATTTTCTAGGTTTTCCAAAATGTGTTCTTGAGCTTCAACTTGATATTCAAAGGTTCAAAATACATGTTTTTGGCTCAATCTTCATATATACATATACTAACATGGTATAAATACCAAATTACATCATTATGAAGCTCAATTTCACAATTTAATCACATGCATGTCCCAATCAACACCAAACTCATTTTCAACATAACAATTCCATGTATTTCAACTCATATTTCCATAAATTGTACATGCATGTAGGATATAACTCTCATTTCAACTTACATGGTGCAAATGATGATTACAAACATGAGCTTTAACCAAAATCCTACATGGATTACACACATTGTGCTCAATTATGGAAATTCATTGCAATTTCCTACATGCATGCATCAATTGACTTCAAATTCATCAAATACTACACAATTCCTTCACTTATGGCACAATTCTTTCTCTTGATCATTAATCAACCTTAATTTTACAAAATTACAAGCTAGAATCCATGAAATACTCACCTAAGAGCTTTAATTCTCACAATCTATAGCAAATTCTTGAGTAATTTTCAAGACTTCCAAGATTCAAGAGCAAAACTTATATGATCTCCCTTTTCTCTCTCTAATTTCGGGTCTCTCTCTCTCTAGAGAGTTAGATCAGCCAAAATGAACAAAAAGAGGAATTGAGTGTGTATAATGGCCCTTTTTAAAAGCTTCCTCAAATACATTCTTTTAATATAAAATAATTGGGCACCATAACATTAATTTAATCCATTTAATATGATCCGAATCAATTTTCAATCAAATTTCACCGTAGGCTCTAAAACTTATGCTGATCACAATGGCGTAACCAATTTCGGTTTCTGTGGCCGATAAGACCTTCAATTTAATTTTTGATGCAGATAATCAAACAGATATTCCTACGGTAAACAGATAAAAATTCAAAACCACATATATTCATATAAATGGCACTCAAAATCATATCAAACACATAATCATGTACATAAGGAGGATAAATTAGCATAATACGGAACAGGGGTATCACAATCTTCCCCCCATTAGGAAGTTTGGTCCTCCAAACTTATCTTACCTTTAGTTGAACACAAATCGGAACACTTTTCATTCAACGGTTCCAATCCTTTTTGATAGCCATTTACTTAGTCCCAAAATCAAGCAATGCTCATTTCTTAATCAGTCAGAGACTTACCTTTTCTTTCATACAAGGCTTGTATGGTGCCCTATCGAAACTATAGTGTAAGCTGTGGTTGTAAGCAGAGTCTGCCAATAACGAATAGACTTCCCAAATTCCCTGAAAGATCTACTAAATGTATTTGGGGCATTTCTCCCAAACGTCCTTTCTACACAATGAAATTCCTAGTCACATATTTCCATTTCTATTCTGAAATAGAGAGAGGTTGCAGTAGTTCCGCCAATATCTGTTATTCAACTTTGACTTGTTGGCACCGAAAACATTCAGACACAAATCTAACAACTTCCTTCTTCACAATAGGTCGCCGATATATTTTTTTCAAATGCCAACTAACCTTACCATAGAAGTTTGATCCATTTCTTTGTCACAGAAGTTCAATTCATTCCTCAATAATTCCGCAATTCACAACCCAATTCAGTACTTAGTTTAGTGACTCATCACAGTTATCCAAGGTTAACAAAGGTAGCATCGAAGCAATCAATTTCTAACACAATAGACATGTCCTCAATTCAGTCCACATTCAATCCCCTGTCCTATCGAGTCTCTCCATATTATCTGATAATCGTCAAAAGCATAAGGCAATGCATATACAAATCTCCATGATGTCAAGGACAATAGCAAAGGAGTCAATCACATATTAAGCACAATTTACACATCCCCAGAGCCCTAATTACAGAATATAATGGCACTGAGCAGCTATTTACACAGAGCGTACTGAATTCACATACTTTCAGACAATCAGGGTTTTTAAAAGCTTCTTGGATGCCAATAACACCCACATAATACCAAAGGATGACATCTCGGAAAAAACAAATGAATAATCGTCTCGGAATCAAAGCACACCCGTTCACGACCGTCGGTGGCCAACCCGAGATCGATTAGACAAACCTACTCGTACAAAACCGTCGGTGGCAAAAGAGGTATCTTGACAAAGGTGCTACATAGGCTTAACGTCCCCTAGCACAAAAGGACGTCTCAAGAATGTCATCAAAACAAACACAATACCACTCACATAGCCTGATTTCCCAAAATCTGATAACACTGAAGCAGACATATGAAACACATTCTGATTAGTCGAGGATAAATATTCATCGCTGTTTACAGTTAAATCAATCTATTGTCATTGGCTTCCATAGCGTCAAATAAGCAAGAATATGACAATACACCAGCATTGTTCCTTAAGACACCCGATCACTGGATTTGCACAATTCAGTTCATTTCTAACACATGTGTCCTCAATAGTTGAAGGTTGGTTCTCAACAGTGTTCATGGTTAGATCAATCTATTGATAGCCCGCAAAGGTCTTTCAAGTAAGTCAAGTACTCCAAACGGATTCAAGTTTTGGGTCTATCAATTTTCCTGCCAAGAATAATTTGGCTATTTATTCATACGTAATCCATACTTCCCCTTAACAAGGTCA